TAATTTTGCTACCTCTTTTTCAGTTTCTACATCTAATACATTTGAAAATACTTTTGTTCATTGAAGGTCACTTGAAGTTCTTTCATCGTGAAAAGATTTAAAGTTCTTCTGGTTTTAATTTATATTTTAAATTTGATAATATTTTCTTACTGATTCTTGTTTAGTCGTCTTGAAAATTCTTCCATACCATTCTTAGGTTTCCTAACATGCAATTAGCCAGTAAACAATTACAATGTTATGAACACTGAACAATGGTCAGTATATATTACATGTGTAATAATTTGAAAATATGTGTGCATAAAGTTGTGTGTCGGTTATGGTTCTTTGTAGCCATTTTTAATTTTTGCTGGTCAACAAAAAAGACGCTTTAAGTTTTCTTTATTTTTGTTAATAAGACGCTTTTGGCTAAACACGTTTTCAGCCATGCCTGCCGTAACACTGCTAACTGCCCAAGTGGCTAACTGCCTGCGGAAAAGGCAATGATGTTGATGATTCTTGTAAATCTATCGGATGTTCTGCACTAATTATTTTGTTAATTTATAACATTAACATAATGTTACAACAAATGTTTTGTTTAGAAAACAAAAAGATTTTATTATTTGTGTGTTCTGTGGTAAACATAAAGACTGCATTCGATCTCGAAGAATTGAAAATAGAATACGAAAAAGTTATGGCAAGGCCTCGAAGCAGTTTATAAAGAAAATATATAATTTGGTTGAAAAAACCAAAACCCTAGTTGAAAAATAAAAAACCGTTCGCAAAGCGCTCATTTTATCTGTGTTCCACTGTTCAACTCAAAAGTAACATAACTTATGTTGCATCAAATAATTAATGGAAAACTTTTTTCTCAGAAATAGATTGCCTGCCTTCCATCCACACAGAGTGCGTGAGAGACCCGTTATTTATACACATCTCTCGCAGAGGGGCAAAATAGTTGGATGAAGGTTTCCCATCCATCATTATTTGAGGTCTGGATTTTCACAGGTATTTATCTGAAGATTGCGTTAATTTATAACAAGTCTGGTTTCGGTGCTGCTTGTTTCTTGTTAGGACAATTTTTAAGTTTTTGTGGATGGATGGTAATTATCATAGATTTTGTCTTGTATTTTAATTTAAAAAGCAAAAAAAAAAAATATTTTAAAAACATGAAACTAAATTAATAATATAAAAAGAATAAAATTATCACTCCACTTAAAGTTTGTCGCTTAAGTCTTTTGTTTGACAGAAAACAAAAACCCAGGTGTTTCATCTGACAAGAGATACAAATAATATTTATGTCATAGCATTTGTATATTTAATGTTGGCTATATTTTTATTCAAATTCGAAAACATGCCTACTCCTAAATTCACTGGAAATAAATGTGCCCATATTTTGTCGCGCACACACACACACCAACATATCTAAGATTTGAATTTCCTTTGGGTTAGTTATAACAAATATTTTTACGCATGTGCTACGGTCTTTAAGTTATGTATTGCATTTAAAAAAAGTTGTGCAAATTTATTACAATCAACTGCCGTTACGGATTTGGAATTTTCAGTATTTGTGTCCATAAAATCGGTCTTGAAGAAATAATTTGAAAAATTATATATAAAAAGGAATTATATAGGAAATTAGATTTTTTTTGCTATAAAATATCCCCAGTAACTGGGGATTGTATTTGTCTCCAATAACTGAGAATCGATTTATTTCTATGGGAAAAAATATTTAATTACTGGGGATAGATTTTTTCTATGGGAAAAATCCCCAAAATAGGAGATCATTTTTTTTATAGAAAAAACCAGTAAGGAAAGCTCAAAAGTCGGGCGGGGCCGACTATATGATACCCTACACCACTATGCATATTTAGTAGAGCTCTCGTAAAAAGGTTTATACAGGGCATTTCAGAGCTCTATGAGATAGTTGGTACAAAATCAAAATCTATCTAATTCTATCGTGCATTTTACGAACTATAGCTATCTCTGAACCGGGTTTCTCCAAATTTTACGTATTAGCTTCTAGACTGGTGATTTGGGCTGATATTGACCATTTAGTGCACATTTAACCCGAAATCGGATGAAGATATATATGAGAGCTATATCCAAATCTGAACCGATTTCGATAAAATTTAAAACAGCTATTCCTGTGCTCCATCTAATACCTGGTACCAAATATCACGGTTGTGGAGTGAATATTACGAATGTATGGGACTAAAACTCTAAATCGGATGAAACATATATATGGTTGCTATATCTATATCTGAACCGATTTTCACTAAATTTGATATATTTGCTTCTAGGCTGAATTTGGTCCGATGTACTAAAATTCAGTCCATTTGGACTTATATCGGCCATTTGGTGCACAATTAACCCGAAATCGGATGAAGATATATATGGGAGCTATATCCAAATCTGAACCGATTTCGATAAAATTACAAATAGCTATTTCTGGGCAGTATCTTATATCTGGTACCAAATATCATTCTTGTGGAGTGCATATTACGAATGTGAGAGGCTTAAACACCAAATCGGATGAAAGATATATATGGGAGCTATAGCTATATCTTTTTCCGATTTTTTCCAAATTTGATACACTTGCTTCTAGGCCGAATTCGGTTGGGTGTACCAAAATTCAGGTAATTTGGACTGATAGTGGACATTTGGTGCACATTTAACCCAAAATCGGATGAAGATATATATGGGAGCTATAGCTGTTTTGTTGTATTAGCTTTAAGGCTAATCTCGGTCACATGTGCCAAAATTCGGGCCATTTGGGCTGATATTGGCCATTTGGTGGTCAATTAACCCGAAATCGGATGAAGATATATATGGGAGCTATATCCAAATCTGAACCGATTTCGATAAAATTTAAAACAGCTATTTCTGTGCTCCATCTAATACCTGGTACCAAATATCACGGTTGTGGAGTGCATAGTAGGAATGTGAGGGACTTAAAGATCAAATCGGATGAAAGATATATATGGGAGCTATAGCTATATCTGAATCGATTTTCTCCAAATTTGATATACTTGCTTCTAGGCCGAACTCGGTTGGGTGTGCCAAAATTCAGGTAATTTGGACTGATAGTGGATATTTGGTGCACATTTAACCCGAAATCGGATGAAGATATATATGGGAGCTATATCTAAATTTGATCCGATTCTCACCAATTTCAATAGGGTTCGTCCTTGGACCAAAAAAATATTGTTTGGAAAATTTAATCTCAATCGAATAATAAATGCGACCTGCATTTTGTTCACAAGAATATATGGACAGACGGACGGACGGACGGACAGACGGACTGACATGCATAAATCGACTCAGAAAGTGATTCTATGAAGGTTCTCAAAAGTAACTATGGGTCTATCTCGTTTCCTTCTCCATGTTACAAACAAATGCACAAAGACATAATACCCTTACCACTATGTGGTGTAGGGTATAAAAACTCCAGTAACAGGAGTTCGAGATTTTTCGCATAGAAAAAAATCCCCCATAACTGGGTTTCGAGATGTTTCTTATAGAAAAAAATCTCTTATAACTTGGGATCGATTTTATTATGGAAATTGAAATCCCCAATAACTGAGGATCAAGATGTTTTTCTATCGAATTTGGGGATTTTTTTTTCCCAAATGTAAGAAGATCGACCACCTGTTATTAGGATTATTTTTCTCGATCCTCAGTTATTATTCCAAGTTATGGGAAATTTTTCCATAGAAAAAAATTTCGATTCCAAGTTATGGGGAATTTTTCCATAGAAATAAATCTCTACAAACTGTTATTTAGGTTTTTTCCACAAAAAAAAATTTTCGACCCCTGTTATTGGTTTTTTTGTTCAATAGAAAAAAAAATCGCCCATATCTAGGGATAGAGAAAAATAATCAAAATAACAGGTGATCGATTTTTTCCCTATAGGAAAAAAATCTCCCATAACAGGGCATCGATTTTTTTCCTATAGGAAAAAATGGCCAATAACGCCCAATAACTAGAGATCGGAAAAATCCCCAATAACTGAAGATCGATTTTTTCCCTATAGGGAAAGAATTCCCAAAACTGAGGATCGATTTTTTCCCTATAGGGAAAGAATTCCCAATAACTGAGGATCGATTTTTTCCCTATAGGAAAAAATCACCAATAACTGAGGATTGATTCTTCCCCTATAGGAAAAAAAATCCCCAATAACTGAGGATCGATTTTTCCCTTTAGGAAAATATTCTCAATAACTGCGGACCGGTTTTCTTCCTTTAGGAAAAATTCCCCAATAACTGGGGATCGATGTGATTTTTATAGAACTATTTACTGGTGGATTTTTTTTTTTTCAAAAATAAAATGTTTCTGAAAATTAGAGTTTTCTTCCAGATCTTAATGTTTCTCATTGTGTGGTGTGTAGGGTACTGTGTTATCCAGACACATTTGAAACTTATGTGCGTTGGCTTGGAAATTTTGTAAACTGGATTCCATTAAATGCCCATTTATCTTCGTGTTTTGTAAACTTTTGACGACAATTTGTTGGCGCAAATAAATGTTGCGATCGAATTGATACAACATGTGGTAATTTACACATGCTGCGGTATTTTGTGGAAATATTTACATGAAATTAAATATTTCAAAATTTAATTTGTTGAGAATAAAAAAATATATTCCAAGGCATGTTATTGTTGTTTGCAGATTTTCCACCAGGAACCACGAACATACCCGTTTTTTTTTTCTTTTCCACAAGTGAAAATGTTCTTCTTTTTGCTTGTCAACTTTCGAAATAAAGAATATTTTCTCTTTTCTGCAATTCATTCATTCATTCATTGATTTCATTTCACCCATAAAAAGTAAAACCTGGCAAAGAAAAGACTTAAGAACCAAACTTGTTTTTGTGCGTTTTTAAACCACATCGTCATCGGCCGCATTGAAGATGACAGCGGACATGAGACCACATTAATTCTTTTCACCCCCCGTCACAGCTTGAGCCTGCGGCTGGAAAGGGGAAAAAGCCGTTCACCTGAAAAACTGGAAAAATCAATTTCACTTACCAAATAGAAATCAATGGGTTTTTCTCTCGCCTTGTTGTAGGCTTTTTGGATTTCAGTCTGTTTGAGTGCGTGTGCAATGTGCAGAGCGCTGGCATCGAAGCGGCCGTATTTGTAATCGGATTCATTTTGTGATGGTGAGCTAACCTCACGACTGCCATAGCCATTTGGGGTGGATTGACGTGAACCGAAACCTCCTTTAATTGCATTAAACAAATGGAAGAAGAGAGGAGAGAAGTGAAAAAACAACATTGAGTCAGTGTTCATTACAACTGGAGACAATAGTTAACGGTTAATGAAATGGCTTTGTTTTCTTTTCTGCTTCTCAACAAATTAACAATTAATTAGTAGCTTCATAGTTCATTCCCCCTGGGGACTTACCATCCACCTCGGTACGTGTTCCCCGAATTTGTTCGTTTACAAATTTATTGGTGCGTGGTGCATTCAAGGCTTGGCGTATGCCCACCGATGTGTTATCCAAATGACCTGGACCACTCTTTGGTACATGAGAACTGCAATAGACCTGCAATGAGGAAAGAGAAAGAGACAAACAACAAAATCAGTAAACATAACGTAATGAATCGTAAAAGAAACCAGCAAGTCATAATAAAAAATTATTAAAAGAAAAAGTCAAACAAAAGTCATTTTTAGTTATTTTTTATGGCTCGCGAAGTAATGTTTAAATTTTTAAAATCTATTTTTGTAATTATTTTCCTGTCTTGCCATAAAAAATGCCTTCCTGCTGCAATGTGGGCTCTCTATTTGTGGTTAATATCAAATCACTTAAATATGTTTGTTGGTGGGCAAAACCAATAGTTTCGGAATGCAGTGTACCTAGATATAATAGATATGCTTGGTTTTATGGGAATATATGGAACGAAGTTGGAATTTGCAGAAAATATATAGTTTTCTTATAAAAAAAACCTCAGTAAACTGAGATCTTCGATTTCTTCTATAGCTTTTAGTCTACATTTCTTTTCACAGAAAAATGTACTTTAGTGAAATTATTTCTTGGCAATTTTTATAGCATCCACTATAGTATGGAGGGTATATTAAGTTTGGCATTCCGTTTGTAACACCTCGAAATATACATTTTAGACCCCAGAAAGTGTATATATTCTTGATCCGCATATACATCTATGTCCATTTATCGGTGTCCGTTCCTCTGTCCGCCTTTCCGTCTCTGGAATTCACTCTAGCTTCCGAACGAAATGAAGTAGGTTGATAAAATTTTACTCAAATGTATATTATATCTGCATGACTTTTGGTATTGAAAATGGGCCGTGGTGGTCCACGTTTTTTATAGACCCCATACAATGGTACCTTTTTATTTTCGGTATTTTGGTGATGCAAGCGACATTATACATCGGAAATGTTTCAAATTTGGAGTTCGTAAAGGATACTACAGCCTATGACAGAAAATTGTCTGTGCAGGTCCACGTCTTCGATTAGCCCCTACAAATGATGATTTTAGCGACATTATTCACCGTAATTGTTTCAAATTTGGTACTTGAATACTACAACCTAAGACAGAAAATTGTCTGTGCAGGTCCACGTGATCGCATAGCCCCCATATAACGGTACCTCCCTATATTCGGTATTTTGATGATTTTTGCTCCATTATTCAGCGAATTTTTTTTTCAAGTTTCGCATTTGAATATTATAATGGCTTATGATAAAAGTTGCCTATGCAGGTCCCCGTCGTAGTATAGACCTAAAAAATCGCCAAGACCTTAGTGCACTAAGGCACTTTTTTCTATAGAAAAAAATCGTCAAGGCTTCAGATCACTTAGTCACTTTTTTTCTAAGACCAACCCCTAAGTACATTGATTTCTATAGAAACAAGTGAAAAAGCAGTGACTTCAAATCAAATTATCAAATATCTGGAGGTACAGTTATATGGGATTTATATGAAACCGTGGGACCCTACAGCCAATTATCTGGCAGAGAACAAATACCGAACTCCAAATACCAAGTTTTTTTTTTAAATGTAGCTAAAATCATCAAAATATTGTATATAGTAAGAGGGCTGTAGTGCTTCATGAAAGCGTAGATCTATATAGGGAATTTTCTGTCATAGGAGGTAGTACCTGTTGCGAAACCCAAATATCGAATTTTTAAAACAATTTCGGTGAAAACTGTGCCACAAATCATCAAAACACCGTTATATGAGGCCTATACCAAAATGTCCACCTATATAGCTTATGTTCAATACCCAAAGTCCTGAAGACCTTAAACATTTCAGGGTAAAATTATCATCAACCTACTTCAGTTTGTTCGGAAGCTACGGACGAACATCGCTAAATCGATAACTTGTGCAGGAAACTTCAAAATATCTTAAATCGGAAGGTTTCGTTATATGGGGCTATACCTGGGGCTGGACCTGAATCGAACATTTTTTGCAAGGTGACAAGGGACCTTTCAAGAATCACAAATGTCAAGTTTCAGCTGATTTGGTTGGAAATTGTGGCAGAAACCTTTTAAATACCGAAAAATCTGGATGTTCCATTATATATACCAAAACGTTCACCAATATAACCCATATTCAATACCAACCAGCCTGCCTGCAATATGAACCTTTCTGCCAAATTTTAAAGCTCAAGATTAAATAATGTGGACTCTATCTGATTTTTATTTAATAATTGGCAGGCAGTAATGAATTTATTCCAATAAAAATTAATGCTAAAATTTAATTTTGTTCAATATTCAGTCAGCCTATATGATACTATTAGGCCTTGTGGCGTATAAGTACTGTCAACACTCATACGCTTCGGATTTTCCATACATAAAACTCTAACTCTAAAATCTCTTCAATTTTCTTTCGTATTTTCGTATTCTTATAACCCATAAAATACGTTAAACTCTCTCGCTATGTTCTAAAATCATCCAATCAATCAAAATTCCATGCATCTCATGCCCGCACATAATGACACTAAGTACCCCTAATAGCGTAGCGATAATTATCTTCATTGCAAGTCATTGGCATGACAATTTAGGTGTCTCTCCTATTAATTGACTGTGTTAGTTTTTTTTTTGCTGGTCTTTTTATTTTTAACAATCTAGAAATAATAAACTGCATAATATGTAGGTGAATTGTTGTTGATTGATTAGCGAGCGACAGTAACAGCAACAAAGCAGCAGCAAGTGCTTAGCAGCGAGGCAAGTCTAAAAACGTGAATCTATGCCGTTGTCCAGCCGTAGCTAAATAAGGCTGAGCCGTTGACTTTTGATTAGACCGACCGGCTATAAAAAAGTGGCAACTAACACCACAACAATCATACGTATACATACATACTCACATTCCATAGAATGTATTTGTAACTGAAAACTGGCGAGAATGTAATTACATTGTATTTGGGTCTGACTCTGGCAATAACGCCTAGGTTTTTCATTGAGAAAAGGCAAATGCTAAGAGGTAAAACTACTTGCATCGAGTGGAGCGTATTTCATCAAGCAAACAAGCTGCCCATAAAACTTTTACGTAATAACTACCGCTACAGTGCTGTTGTATTCCGAAAAATGGACTGCGGGCGTTGCAACGCTTGGACAGCTATGCACTGATGAAAGATAAAGACTCTGATAAATAGTTTTCGCATTTTTTCCTTACTATTTTGGAATTTTACGAAAATAAGTTTTTTTTTTGTTTAGTGGAAATGCATTCCATTGCACCGTACAAAAGCTGGATGTGATAAAAATAAAGTCAGAACATATCAGTCAGTTTTGCCGAAAGCTGCCTGAGTTGTCACGTGCAAAGTTTGGTCTAAACCGAGAATCCCATTCGGTTTATATGTAATTTCTGATTTTGCAAAAATATTCCAGAAGCCAGTAAACATATATTTTTATACCCTCCACCATACTATGGAGGGTATATTAACTTTGTCATTCCGTTTATAACTCCTATTCTTGATCAGCGTAAAATTCTAAGTAGATTTAGCGTCTGTCTGTCTGTCTGTCTATTGCAATGACGCTATCTTTCGAACGAATTGAGATAGAAGGCTAAAATTTTGCACACATATTTATCTTTCCAGTAGGCAGGTTAAGTTCATAAGTGGGCCTTGTAGGTCCACGTCTTCGGTAGGTCCGATATACGGTATTTTGATGATTTTAGCTACGTTATTAACCGGAATTGTTTCAAATTTGGTATTTGAAGTTCGTAATGAATACTACAGCCTATGACAGAAAATTGTCTGTGCAGGTCCACGTCTCCGATATGTCTTTTGTAAAATCTATCTGTGGGGTTTTTACTTGTTCATAAATGGGCCATGTAGGTCCACGTTTTCATATAGCCCCCATATAACGGTACCTCCCGATTTTCGATATTGATATGATTTTAGCGTCATTATTCACCAGAATTGTTTCAAATTACGTATTTAGAGTTCGAAACGGGAACTTCAGTCTGTGACAGAAAACTGTCTATGTAGGACCAGGTCCACGTAGTGGCCCCATATATCAGTACCTCCCTATATTTGGTATTTTGACGATTTTAGGTACAATACTCACCGAAATTGTTTGAGATGTCGTATTTGAAAATCGTAATGGATGCTACAGCCTGTGACAGAAAATTGTCTATGTTGGTCCAGGTCTTCGCACAGCTCAGATATAACGCTACCTCCCTATACACGATATTTTGATGATTTTAGCTACATTATTGACCAATTAATTCAAGTTTCGAATTTGAATATGGCAATGGTTTATGACAAACAATGCAAATGTAGGTCCACGTCGTATGCATTGTAATATAACTACTATCTTCGGTATTTTTTTTAAATTGTAACAGATTTTTTTATGGATTTTATTTTTTGAGCATTTCCAAATTCGTTCCAAATGATGGAGGGTATTCAAAGTTCGGCCCGGCCGAACTTATTGCTTTTTAACTTGTTCATATTCATACAATATTAGCAAAAGTCAGTTTTATACCCTCAGCCATACATATGGCTAGAGTGGATATATATTATTTGATACGGCCTAAACGTGCCTCAGTGAAATAACGGATTACGGACCCAGGTCTTTTTGTATCAAATCCGTTTCAGGACATTTGGAGTCGATTCAGCGAAGTTCGTCCGTCTGTCTGTCTGGCTGGATGGCTGGTGCGCACGATAACTTTCGAAGGGAGTATCCGATTTGGTCCAAACTTCGTACATTGCGATATTATTATCACATTTAGATCGAGTTCGGAGATGGGCAATAACGGCCCACTCCTTCTGGTACTTCCCCAACCAAAGGTCGAACTTTGAAAAAAAAATTACTGCACAGAAAGAGAAAGCATAATCCGCTTTTACTCCAAATTTGCGAAAATGTAGGCAAATGGCTAATATTAGTGGGCATCATCGGCCAAAATTTTGCATAATGATAACTCTTTTACAATATTATTCATGAGTTCAGTTGTCTTCAAATAACACACATCACAATAATTTTATGAACCCAAGGTCTGGTGTGAAGATGGAATATATCGGTCCACTCCTGCTGGTACCTCCCACACCTAGGGTCAACATTTTGAATATCCATGAAGGTCATAAAACGCGAAATTAACATCCGATTCCATTTAGATTTGGCACATTTCAATATTTCTATCAACACAAGATCTTTTATGAAGATGGTAGAGATCAGACCTTTTCTTCTGGCACTTCCCCCACTAAGGGTCAAAATTAAAAAAAAAATAACGAAACGCTCATAAAACAAGAACAAATATTCCAAATTTCTGAACATTTCACACATTTCCCAAAAATATTTTTGCTACACAAGATCTACTGTCAAGATATATGGGATATATCGGTCCACTACTTATGGTACCTCCACCACAAAGGTCAAAGTTTTGAATAACTAAAACGATTATAAAATTAGAAATAATCATCCGGTTCTCTTCATATTTCACACATCCCATTATTTCTACTAACACTGCTGTGAAAATGGCATATATTGGTCCAGACCCACTGGTACCTCCTCCACAAAGGGTAAAGATTATGAATATCATTGAAGCTCATAAAACGCGAAAATAATATCCGATTGCATTCAGACTTGGCACATTTCAATATTTTTGTCAACACAAAATCTGTTATAAAGATGGTAGAAATCGGACCATTCCCAAAATGGGACCTCATTCAAAAAAGGACCTCTGCTCAGATCTTCTAATGACATATCCATGTTAAAATAAGGCGTTAGATTGCTGTTTTGTGAGTAGTTAGTGGCGCCCAATTGTACTTAATACATCTTATTAAACCGAAAGTCGACTTTGACCTCAAAATCGATTTCGAAAAGTTGAAAAATTGAATTTGACTTCAAGACAAAGTCGACTTTTGTATGCTTAATCGTTAATATCTGTGGTGATGTGGCTGAAGGTTGATATTTCCCACCATCAGTGGCGTCAGATCTTGTAACCGTGGCACTTCCAATTAAAGTCCCTTATTGGTGATTGTTAATGCGTGTTTTTACCCTACACCACATAGCAGTAAGGGTATTATGTCATGAGATAGACCCATAGTTACTTTTGAGGATCTTCATAGAATCACTTCACTGAGTTCATTTATAATCCAAATTACCTGAATTTTGGCACATCTGACCAAATTCATCCTAGAAACAAGTGAAAATCGGATCAGATATAACCATAGCACCCCTATATATGTTTCATCCGATTTGGGGTTTAAGTCCCTCACGTGCGTAGTATTCACTCCACAATAAAGATGTTCGAAACGGGACATCAGATCCAGCTCGAAAATACCTCTGCCAAATTTTATTGAGATCGGTTCAGATGTTTACATAGCTTCGATATACACCTTCATCCGATTTTGCGGTTATTGTTCACTATATATTTGGTGGATCAGCCCAAATTGGAAAGATTTTTTCATATTCAACCGAATCTTTCCATTTGGTGAAACTCCGGTATATCTATTGCTTCACTAAATATTTTTATACCCTCCACCTTGGACAGGAGGGTATATTAACTTTGTCATTCCGTTTGTAACATCCTTAAATATTCGTCGTTTGTAAAATCCATAAAATTCTAAGTCGATTTAACGATGTTCGTCTGTCTGTCCGTCTGTCTGTTGAAATCACGATACAGCCCACATTATTTGACGTAGAGCGCCAAAATTTAGCAGAGCAAATTGTATTGTGTCTAGGATGGTTATCGGTCCACATTCTGGTGTAGTCCCCATATAACGGTACCTCCCGATATTCGGTATTTCGATGATTTATGCCACATTTTTTCACTGATTTGTTTGAAAATTGGTATTTGTAGGTCATAACGGGTCTCTGTGCGTGTGGCGAAACATTGCATGTATGGGTCCACGATTTGGTATAGCCCCCATATAACGGTACCTCCCAATATTCGGTATTTTGGTGATTGTGTCAAAATTTTTTTCAGGAATTTCTCTGAAAATTGGTTGTTGTAGATCATAATGGGTCCCAGTTCGTGTGGCGAGTCATTGCAATTATAGGTCCACGATTTGGTAAATCCCCCATATAACGGTACCTCCTGATATTCCGTATTTTGATGGTTTTTGCCACATTTTTTCACTGATTTGTCTAAAATTGGTATTTGTTGGTCATAATGGGTCCTAGTTCGTGTGGCGAAACATTGTATTACAGGTCCACGTTTTGGTATAGCCCCTCCCGATTTCGGTATTTTGATGATTTTTGCCACTACTAAATACACATTGTGGTGTAGGGTATTCTGGCCCGTCCGACTTTTGACCTTTCCTTACTGGTTTAATTGCATAACATGTACCCTCGAATATTGGAACTCGACTTTTTCAAAAGTTTTTATTTCTAAATGATGGAGGCAGGAATATACGAAGTAGGGTTTCCCAAGGACCGAAGTAATTTTTCGTTTTTAGGTTCCCGAAAAGCTTTCCTAACGCATTCCTGGTACGTTTCTTGTGAAGAGTATTTAAAGTGCGGCTCGGCTTTAAATGATGATCTTGAATTGGACTAATTATAGTACCCCTTTTTATACCCTACACCACATAGTGGTAAGGGTATTATGTCTTTGTGCATTTGTTTGTAACAGGCAAAAGGAAACGAGATAGACCCATAGTTCCTTTTGATGATCTGCATAGAATCACATTCTGAGTCGATTTATGCATGTCCGTCCGTCCGTCCCTATTGAAATTGGAGATAATCGGTCAAAATTTAGATATAGCTGCCATATATATCTTCGCCCGATTTGCCTTTTATTGTGCACCAAACGTGTAATATCAGTCCGAAAAGTATTGAATTTTGCACGTACGATCAGATTGGACCTGAAAATAAGTATGCCAAATTTGATAGAAATCGGCTCAGATATAGCTATAGTTCCCATATATATCATATGCACTCTGTAACAACAATATTTGGGGAAATATATCAAATGCAGCTCAGAAATACCTTTGCTAAATTTTATCGAGATCGGTTCAGATTTGGATATAGCTCCCATATATAACTTCGTCCGATTTACCTTTTATTGTGCACCAAACGTCTAATATTTGCCCAAATGGGATGAAATTTAGCATTTACGACCGAATTGAGTCTAGAAGCTAGTACGTCAAATTTGGTGAATATCGGTTCAGATATAGCTATAGCTCCCATATATACTGTTCATTCGATTTGTTATATTTGTTACCCACAGCCGTAATATACACTCCGTAACAACGATATTCAGGGAAATATATCAAATACAGCTCAGAAATATCTTTGCCAAATTTTATCGAGATCGGTTCGGATTTGGATATAGCTCCCATATATATTTTTATCAGATTTAAAATTAATTGTGCACCAAATGGGCAATACAAGTCCGAATTTAAAAGATACACATTCTTCGGCATGTTTAGCCCTTTGAACTTTAAATTATAATTATAATCGTGGCGTGTATGATTGAATTCTCTCATAAACACCTTTAATTGTTATGCGGAGCCCTACTAAATTAGCAAAGTGGTGTAGGGTATCATAAAGTCGGCCCCGCCCGACTTTAAGACTTTTTGGCTTATCCAGTCAGATAAAGGCTGGAGCCAATTCAGATTAATCGACATAGAGTTCCAAAAAGGATATTTATACATGTTAGCTGCGGGAATAAGGCTGGTATTATAAAATTTTTTTTTTACTAAAGGCACATATTTTTCTTCCAGAATATGCTCCGTGAAAAATTAATAAAAAAAAAAATAAAAATTAATTTAGTTTTCGACTCACCTCCTTGTCATCCTGTTTGTGTTGATTGTTGAAATAGGTTTTCAGTGTCAGTTTGGTGCCGCAATGAACGCATTTGAAACAGCCCGAATGGAAGAAAGTGAAATCCTTTAGAGGACCTACACGATCCACTTGATAAACGGTTTCGTTGCAACGCAGGCACGTTGATTCGTAAAAATTTGGACGATACATATTCATTTGTGGCGAAGAGAAAGAGGGACGGCTCGAATATTCACAATAACAAAAAAGCACTTAATTTTCTTAATACAAACTAAACGAAATTGGTTGCACTTCTTTTTTTTTCTCAACTCGGTTTTATGGATTCAAATATTTCACTGGTTTGCTTCTCTTTTTTTCTCTAAGGCACTGAACGTTGGGGAAAACAATCAAATACATTTGAAAATAATGATAATTTCGATGATGTCGATGTGAATGGAGATGGGTTGTTTTGTTGTTGGAGTTGTTGCGATTGCGAATGCTGCTGTTGATGCTGCTGCCTATGTTGCATGCAAGCAAAGATAATGAACATATTTCTATGAAAAGTAATTATGATGTTAATTTGCTGTTTCTTCTGCAATTAAAATTAAAAACAAAAAAAAAAAACAAAACTGATAATATTTTCTTCTGGATAATTCTATAAAAATTTGATTTTCTTTCTTTTATAACACCCAATAATTTTGTATTCTTGGCATTAATTATTATTTTTTTTCTATTCTTTTTTGGTTCGAAATGCAATCACGTTTGTTATTAAAGGTTTTCACTTGGCTTCTAATTGCCTGCTTCCTCGTCGTAGGTAGGCTTTTTCGCTTGTTTACGTTCCGTATTGAACTGAAATTTCGCTCAACAGAAAAGTTTCTATTTGGCCCATAGACCAGAGCAGATTTTGCCGTTTTTGTAGCGTTTCACTTGGTGGGTTTATTCACTTTGTTTTCAAAATAATATGTTGTTGTAAATGTGCGTGTTTGGGATTTTCATTTGGCTCCTCATGAAGAGAAAAAACAACAACAACAACAAACAGCTCCAACAGATTTGTTTTTTACGCAGGGCTAATTTGTTATTTGATTTTTACTGCATGATTTTGTTTTTTTTTTTTGAGTTTTAAGTTTTCTATAGGGGGGCTCTCGCTCACACTCGTCTCACGTTCGTTCACGTTCAACATGCCAATTGCAATGCGAGTGCGTGAGTGAGTTTATTGCCAGCTGCTTGTTTTGAATCCAACAAAATTTCGTGCTCCAAAATCTGTAATGAAATAAAAATAACAACTTCATTAGTATTGGCATGGAAAAAAGCTAAGTTGTGGGTTTTAAGCCATATTTGCATGTCTCAAAACTCGAGCCATTTAAATGTTTAAATGCTAATTTAATATGAATTTATTTATTTTTTTTTCGAATTCAACAATCCGATTAATTGCTCAAACGATTTATGTATTTTAAATGAAGACATAATTTGATTTCATTTGAAGGGGAAATTTTTCTACTTTTTTTAATAAAGTTTTTAAGTAATTTCTGGAATTAAATTGAAAAATCATTCAATTAAACTCTAATGCGAATTGCAATTAGCTCATCATAAAAATATAACAGTTTTTTAAGTATCATAAAAAATCGATATTCTATATCCTAAAAATCAAGGTAAAAAAGCAGTAAATTCGGCCGGGCCGAACTTTGAATACCCTCCACCATTTAGGACGAATTAGGAAATTTTCAAAAAATAATTTCCATTAAAAATTCTGTTAAAATTTTAAAAATACCTAACATCGGAAGCTGCTGATATATGGGGGATTTACGATATTGTGGACCTTTATAAACAAATCTATTTCTGGGGGTAAAGTACTCACAAAGAACTCATTGTGTAGAATTTCAGACAATTCCAGTGCATCATTTGGCTAAAATCCTAAAAATACCGAATATCGAGGTGTCCCGTTATATGGGGCTATACGATATCATGGACCGATATAGCCCACCATCGAACTTGACCTGCCTGCGGAAAATTGTAGCTTCCTATCTTAATTCGTTTTAACTGTGATTACAGGACGGACAGGGCTAAATCCTCTTAGAAGTAAGATTGGTAGGAGAATTGTAGGAGCCGTTATATGGGTATCATACTAAAACGGGAGCCTATATATATGGTAAATGTGACTTGGATGACTAGGACCAATATAGACAATGTTTTGACGCCGGTTGTAGAACCCCTTTGAAGTACAAATACTAAATTTGAATTTGAAGAACAAATATTACATTTCAAACAAACATATTAGAAAATGCGACTTAAATCGCTAAAATGCCGAATATCCGATGGAACCGTTATATATGCGCTGTAGTAAAACGTGGACCTAAATATTCAAAGTTCTGCTGCCGGAGCTAGAACCCATTATGAACTACAAATACCAACCTTTTTACCAAATCCGTGAAAAATGTGGCAAAAATTATTAAAATACCGAATCTCGAGAGGCACCGTTATATGGGGGCTATACATTATGACCTACAAATACCAATTTTCAGACAAATCCGTGAAAAATGTGGCAAATGATGAAAATCATGAAATTATAGAATAGAATATAGGGAGGTACCGTTATATGGCGGCTATACCAAAACGCGGACCAGTATATCTCATTTTAAATACAAACCATCCCAGACACCATAAAAATTGAGTCGCTCTTTGTAGAAACAAATAAAAAAGGAGCTAAGTTCGAAGGAACTTGAAAATTTTCAAAAAATACCTCCCAAATGAAAACCGTTATATGTGGGTTGTACAAAGGAGAGGAGCTGCATAAATAATTTTCCATCATATGTTGAAGTAGCCCTTACGAAATTTGAAAATTTGAATGATAAATACTGTCGTTAAAATCACCAAAATACTGAATATATAGACCTATATAGACCAGGGGGGTAAAGTACTCAGATGGAACTCTTTCTGTGGATTTTCAGACAATTCCATTGAAAAATTTGACTACAATCATCAAAACACCGAATATAGGGAGGTACCGATATATGGGTTCGATAAAAAGACCTAAACATTCATAGACAATTCTCTATCACAGACTGTAGTACAAACTTGGAACTTTAAATACGAAAATTGAAGCCATTTAGGTAGATAAAGTTGCTAAAATCTTCAAAATACGGAATATAGGCAGTTACCGTTATATGGAGGCAATATGAAAACGTGGACCTATACATACAATGTTTCCCTACCGTATACCTTGAACCCATTATGACACACAAATACCAATTTTAAGGCAAACCCGTGAAAAAAATCACCAAAAAACACCGAATATCGGGAGGTACCGTTATATGGCCGCTATACCAAAACGTGGATTGTTCTGTCAAATTTTGAAGCTCTACGTCAAATAATGTGGGCTGTATCGTGATTACAACAGACAGACTGACAGACGGACATTGTTAAATCGATGTAGAACTTTATTCTGATCATAAATATACAGTGTGAGATGAAAAAACTGCAACCAATTTCAGACTGCTGTCATTCCTAAGACAACTTATTATATTGTTTCCAAGTGTACAAAAGCATTTTGGTGAGAATTTTCCAGAAAAATAGTTATTCGTGATGGAATTCAAGCGTGATAGTGTTATTTCTTTATATTTGGCTGGAAAACCACAAGTGGCTATCGTTAGAGCACTGCAGCATTTAAATGTGAATTAAGCAACGTCTGCAGAAAGGGTTCGTAAAGTAAAGAAGCGACTTAATGAAAAACCCGGGTCGCAGTGGCCGAAAAATGGCTCGTGAGCTGAACATATCGCAATATTCTATTCGGCAAATATTGATAAATGAGTTCGAGGTAAAGCCATTGAAATTCCAAAAAGTGCAAGAACTTACATCGCAACATTCGGGCTCTGCGTATGAAGGCCATAATTTGTGCCAAAGTTGATCAATTCGAACAAATCTAAACTTATTCTAAAATTTGATGCTATTTCCGGCCTTTTTTTGTTTTCATTCTATAAAATTAAAAAAATTAAAAATTACCATATACTTTATGGGTTCTACGACGAATATTTAGTGATGTTACAAACGGAGTAACATACCCTCCTTTCCAAGGTGGAGGGTATAAATATTTGCGATCGGGACGAACTCTTTTGAAATGTTTTGGTTCAGATGTAGATATAGCTCCCATACCCAACTTCATCTGTTCTTCACGATTATTGCGTACAAAATATGTACACATCATAGAGGTAAGCGTGCTATATTTGAAGAAAATCGGTTCAGATATAGTCATTATGCCCTTACATAGCATTCAGGCGAATTCTATAGTTATAATGACCTGTTTGCCTTACCATGCTCCCGGTATCATTTTCGATTCAGATTTCATGTAACTTCTTCGGATTTCACAACAAAATCAAGAAAGTTGATGTGTGTCATCAACATGATGAATCGTAATCATAACCAAAAATTTCCAAAATAGACATCGACAATTGTTTTACGACTCGGACTCCTACCAAATTACTCCACTTCGACTCCGTAACGCTGGATACGATTTATAGAAATTTTCAAGTTCGTAGGCTAAGCGTATAAAAATTCAAAATAGAAAAAAGTGACACCTAACTATTCTACAATATAAAAAAATTCACAGCCATTGGTCACTTGTCTACACTTTATGCTTTGTTGCTTCATTTTTTACATCATCATACTTCCTTCCTTGTTTCACTAAGTTTTTTTTTTGTTTGTTTCTTTTAATTATAACATAATTTTGTCTTGTTACATTTTCATGATAAGATCAAACTTATAATTAGCAATGATGTTGTGTTGAATGTTGTTGGATTTTTTTTTTTTTGGGTTTTGTAATTTTGTCGCCAAGGCATGACAGAAGGGAATGATGTCACTTGGCCAGTCCGGATTGCTTAGGTATGCATAAACGCTGGTTGTGTTGGAGTTGGAAGTCCAACATTTTTGCCGTTCCGTGGTGACATTGTCTATGTATGGTGATGTAAAAATGTTGTGAATAAGAATGTGGGTGTGGTAGAGCTGCGCTGTAAAACGGGCTAACCATAAACAAACTATGCTATGAGTTGGCGTTTTCTCTATCTCTCGCTCTCGGATTGTTGCAAATTATGTGAGAACAGCAGAGATTAGTATCGGATTTTACAATAAAATAAATGTGTTTTTTTGAAACAAAATTAAGCATTTTATTCCACTGGTTAGTGATATTTTTGGACAAGTTGTAAAGCAAAAAAAGTAAGGGTGTTGGCATGATTCTAGGCGACACCACTCACAGCACTTGTCGACCTTAATGGAAGAGACTAGCTGAACCCGGTGCGCTTCGCTACCCCTTTCATAGACAAATGAAAATATAGACAACGAAATGCTCTCACCGTTCATCTTCGAAAAAAATCGGATCAGCAGATGTCGTCTATATCGTTTCAGGGGTTTGAGTGGGAATTTTGAAGTCACTCAATTCTAAAACGTTAAAAATAACAAAAACTGTAGGATATTTGTCAGTTGAAAATTGTTCCATAATAAAAGACAAGTGAAAACTATGTAGTGACATCGAAAAATATGAGAATATTCCAGTGAAATTCTTGAAAAACTATAAAATGTGTTTTCGAAGTCGAGTGACTTGAACGCGTAAATCAGCATGTTGACTATGCAAAACATGATGAGAGTCACCTGGATAAAAAGACAAAACTAACTTTTCGTTGTCTATATCTTCATTTGTCTATGCCCCTTTTGATTTTATATGCATTCAAAATTTTATTTACGAATATATGTTGGTTAAAAAAAAAACAAATTTAAAAATTAAAAAAAAAAAATTTAATGCGTAAATAACCAAAACCATTAGAAAAGCAGTAACATGACATACATACACGAAGGGTTTGTCTTTCGGATTTATTTATTTCATAGCAAATACCAAGCATGCAGTAAACTGCAATCTTTTGAAGTTGAGTGGCATTTCTATTGCAATTAGTGAATTCGAGATAGCAACATACTTCACCGTAATAAGCGTATTTCAAATCAATTGTTGTGTTGTTTTTTAGTGTTAGCCTAAGCCGGTGTGGGTCAATGGTTCTTTTTAAAATAATATCCCAATCTGATCCGATTTAAATATAATTTAAAAAAAAAATACTTCTACACCAAACTCCGCCACACCTTTCATATTTCATTGAAATTCGTGAAATCGGCCGATAATATATATATGGGAGCTATATCCAAATCTTAACTAATTTCCAATTAATTTGTCACATTTATTATTGTAACCAAATTCCGCCACACATTCTGAATTTCATTGGTATCGG